GAGCCCATGCACTTGATCTCTACCTTGTCTTTATGAGCAGAACACACTTCGAGCAAAGTGTGGGGGAGTTGATCCCCCAAATTCTATAAGTGAAAGTTCTAAACCGACAATAATGATGCACACAAGATGTCGCCAGCTTCTACTACTAATGCCTGAATAAGGAGGGAGAACTAGTCAAGAAAGATGAACTTGTCAGACTAAAATCAAATTTAAAACCAAGACGGGTTTGACAAAAGAAGGTGGCACCACCATTGGAAGTGCCACTACTAGAGGCGCCACCTCAAGAATCCTCTCTTCAAGAGCAAACTAAGGAACAATGCACTTCCACAGCTACCAAGGGCAAGATCATGAAGCAACCTCAAGTGGGCATCAAGGAGGACGCATGTCTTTCTCTAGACGAGGGTATTATGACTCTTAGGAGGCCTTCCACCGGTTCAACAACAGACTCACAACCATTGAAGAGACAAATGTTGCCATACAAGGTATGTTACACAATCACACATAATGGCAGGTAAGCATGAGACAAGAGATGGCCAGCCTCCAGCAACAACAGCAACAGAAAAATCAAAATTGGATGCTCTGTTCCAGCACCTCCACATTCGGCCACCTCGTTGAGCAACCACGTCAACAACTAGCTTGGGGGAGGAGCATCCCCCGTGTATCTAGCTTAGCATCTCTTTTCCCTTATTATTTTTACTATTCTTAGTTCGCTTTATATATTTAAAAGAAAGATGAATAACTAAAACAAAATAAAAAGTTATCTTTATAGAAATATATATAGTTATAACACGTGAACTAAAAATGAAAACAAAATAAAAAGAGTGTGTCTAATTTGCTTTAATTTCTTTTAAGAGCTAAATAAATAAAAAGGGACTCTGAAGATAATCACTTAAAATGAAAATAATGAATAGTTTCGCGGTTGTAATTCCTTTCAAGTACCTAGTTTTCAGCCTTGAATTCTTTAGAGTTTTGGATAAGATTATTTTGATATAAGAATTTACTCTGAACTTGAAACTCGTGGGTAGCATATGCTTGATCTAAGTCTAGGTAATTGACTGATATGATATGAGAAGGTCTAAGCTACTATTTATCTTGTTCCAAGTGACACCAAAGTTCTGGAGATTTATCTTTTTAAAACACAAAAATGCTACATGATGAGTTCCTGTATGACAAAGCTTGAATTCCCACCAGAGCCACACATGTTATTTAGGCTAGGAAAACTTCCACATATATGCTGCTTACTTTTGCATTGAGTTTTATCAAGTTTTGTGACCCTTATGAGAGATTTGTCATGCTCTTAAAATCAAGATCACGTACACACCACCCACATATGCACTACTCCTACACTACGGGTAGGCGCAGAAACATGCCTTCCATCTAGATCCACCCAAAAATATTTAATTCCTACACTGGGAGTGAGCACAAAAACATGCTTGATAGGTTTTCCATCCACCAAATAAATGCTCCAAGTTCTTGTTGCTATCTCTCAAAAGTTTTGTTGCAGAAAAGAGACATGGGGCTATGTAGAAGTTATTCATAAAAAAGGGAAAAAAGAAGTAGAAAAAATGGACACAAAAGTGTTTGAGATATTTAAAACAATGGGTACTCAGATGCCCGCCTGAAAAAGAAAGAAAGAGAGATGAATAAGATAGCCCCTGTTCTCTAGCAAATGTTTCCAAGTTTTAAAAGAGAGATATGTTTTCAAGGAGCATAGTAGAATTAGGCTAACCACCATAATATATCCACCATATATATATCCACACACATGACATCTTGATTTGATTGTATGACTTAACTTTCATTGGATCCGTTGTTTTGACTTTACAATATATGCATTGCAAGTATGCTCTAGCTTTCTCCCTACATATGAACTCCACATAAGCCTTAGTAGCAGGAAGAGAAAAGGCATAACATCATTATTGCCTTGGTGAGGATCCACAAATACCACATATTTTAAGAGACTTGAGAGTGTCATACAACGAAATCTCTAAGTTTAAATTTGAAAACTTTAAAAAACTCCGAAACAATAGTTGAACAAAGAACTTGAGACATAGTGCTTGACTTGATCATTCTATCTTTCAATTGCTCAAGACCCAAGTAAAGGCTAAGAAGCCCCATGGTTGAAGGTAATATGGGTAAGTTTGAAAGTCAGATCAGTTTATTATAATCCAGAGGAGAATTCTTGATTGAACGCCTGTGTACTTATGAGGCGTGGAACATTGTGGCAACTACTAATCCATTGCTGAGTTTAGCTTTTCTCAGGGACTAGCAAAGGTTAAGCTTGGGAGAGCTTGTTGACGGTCACTAACATTAATTATAAACCATCAACAGAACCTACATTTATATTTAATTCCATCACCAAACATAGGTATATGGGTTTAAACTAATGAATTCCACAAGCTTTGGTAAATATTTATATGTAGGAGGATTTATCTAGAAAACAGCTCTGGGGACCACTGTCATACACTCCAAACAAGCAAACTGACATCAACAAGTGATTCTACCCGTGACACCTACGAAAGTCGACTCAAGACGGAGCCCAAGCCTCGCCACTATAAGGAGGAGCCCACCTGGCACCATAGTGCGCTGCCTGGCCCATAGGGGTGGCCCATCGCCCTCTGCCGCTGTGTACACCTTCCTACGATCTACACCGTTGATTCTATGGCAGTTTTAGATCGGTTCATCCAACGGTGGTTGGGAGAGTTGATGTGAATCGATGATGTGGCAATTCCTTGCCCCCTACTCCTCCTAGAGTCCTTGCCCATTACTCTACCTTGATTCCTTGGCCGCTACTCTACCTCTTGCCTATATATAGCAGCCCCTACCCCCCTCCCTCATGAGATCCTAAAATCCTAATTCATATCCTCCTCATCAGGATCAGAGCCAGCTCTCAAGATGTAGAAGTAGAATAGCTCCAGTTGAGAGTTAGGGAGAGTTGAGCCATGCTCAGGTTCTGGAGAAATCTTCGGAGGTCGGGTAAATTTTTGTATCTTACCTTTGCAAGACTTATGCTTTAATATAGTTATCTTCTGTATTAACTTTTTATGTCTTTCATGTGTATGGTTAGTATAGTTATCATATCTTAGCATGGGATCTTCGCTCGCATCGAGTGCTCTAGTTATTATATGTGATTAGAGTAGTAATTAATAGTGTAGACGCGGTGTCTAGACTATGAGTTACCTGAGATTGCACCTAACCCCGCGAATAGTTGTGGTAGCCCTAGGTGGTGACAGCCCTGATGGCCGATGTAGTCCACCACGTTTGGGTTGGTGTTTGTAGTACCATAGTCAGAGCTTCCTAGTCCCTTTATCATCCCTTTATGTGGCTAGTGTTCTGATATCCCAAAGTGCTATTGTGTGTGATCGATATATCTATCCATGCTTTAGTTATACCCTCTAGTCTAAACTAGAATGGAACCAAAGTAATAGAGAAGTATTTAGGAACCTTAAACTCAACCGTTGTCCTCTCAATTTAGCTAGACTGCTCATTTATATACCATGGAATTCTCTTATGTGTGTTATTATTCATAACTCTTATCATAAACAACACTTACCCCCACTTTAGTTTAGTTAGTATACTAGTTAGTAATTACATGATAGTGAACTATCACTACAAGAAATGTGTGGTTTTTTGACGTATTTAGTATGTCAATAGGTCATAATGTCATTATATCATCCGGTTTATGACATTCTATTTTAGGCATTTTGACTTAGTGACAATAAAAAGTTGTATGTCACAACAAATGTCATATTACTAGTCTAATTCTATCCGGTGACAATATTTGCTATGTCACAAGGACTAATTTTTGAATGTCATAAATATATGACAAAGGTTGTGCGTCATAAATTATTTTATTGAATTATTTTAAATACACTTGTCCAAGTTGGCATGTCCTATTGCCACGTGGTTAGATTTTTTCTTTTTTCTATTATTTACCTCTACCCTGTTTAATTTTTCTTCAATATAGGCCACCAGGCGCTCGGCCCAACAGGCTACGCCCTAGCTGAAAGGGCGCTTGTTTGCCCCAGCCGCTCGGCCCAATAGGCCACGCCCTTCGTACTCAGCCAGCCGATAGGGCACCTGTTCGCACCCTAGGAAAATGTTAAAAAAGCACGGATGGGAGGACTCGAACACGCACGCTCGTGGTTCCCAGGAAGTGAACATACCACTGAGCTACGAAGATATCTTTGTTGATTGGCACATGTGATACTATATATCCAAATATAACAGGTAATGTACCCTATGTCCTCGTAGACTTTTAGCTCGTGAACGGTTGCGGACGCGGACAGCGGCGGATCCACCTTCGTGACCTGTTGCGGCCAGGCCAGTAGCGGATGGCGGCGCGGAGCTGCGCGTCCAGGCCGACAGCGGGCGGTGGCGCGGAGCTGCGCGGACCGCATCCAGCATCCAGCGGCACGACGCGGAGCGGCTTGGCGAGCAGCGCAGATCTCCCCAGAAGCTAGCAGAACTCCCTTGATTTGTTCTGCTCATAGTTCTAGCCTGCAAGAAAGGTACTGATTTGCTTACTGAAGTAGTCTTGCATCTTAGTGCTTAGTAGTTGCTCACAGCTTTGCGCCAATTGCAGGGCAACAGTTCATGATAATACCAAATTGTATCTTAGTGTTTGTTTGTTAGCAATAATTAAAATAAAGGTTAGTGTAGATTTATTTAACCCATTATTGGAGATAAAGCAATGCTCAACTATTGTGTACAGATTTCATATAAATAATGACATGTCACATGTTTGATAATTTTGGTCAAGTATCATATATATGTAAAAATTTTTGAGCAAGTGTATCTCATGATTTTGTGCAGATGGATAGATCTTGGATCAACATAGGATGTTCAGCGAGGAACACGTGAATGGGGTGAATGAATTCATGACCTTTGTTTCCGAGAGATTCAATGACGATGAAGAGATGCTCTGTCCATGTCGTAAGTGTTTGAATCGGGTTCGCAAACCTAAAGGACAGGTGCAGGATCACTTGTATATTTATGGGATGGCTACTACTTACACTAGATGGATACATCATGGAGAACCATTGGAGGTTGTACCACATGAAATTGATGACCATGTTGATGAACATACTAGTCTCAATGAGGATTTTGGCATGAATGTGGATGAAGAAGATGACCCTGATGATGGAATTCATGGTATGGTAGAGGAGTTGTACACAGCTAAAGAGGAAGGTAAAGGGCAAAAGTCTATGTTTGCAATTCTAATGGAAGAGATGAAGCAACAATTGTCCCCCGGTGGTCCTTGAACAAGGTTTTCTTTTGTGGTGAAGTTACTTCATATCAAGTCATTTTACCGGATTTCTAATGGTGGATTCACAGTGATACTGAAGTTGTTGTCATCATCATTCCCAAATTGCTCTATTCCTGCATCATACCAGGAAGCAAAGAGACTTATCCATGCATTGGGGCTCGGATACAATTCAATCCATGTGTGCCCAAACAATTGTGTTCTGTTTCAGAAGAATTTAGAAAAAATGATGTTTGTCCAGTTTGTAGTGCATCAAGATGGAAAGACAATGATGCAAGAAAGAAGATTCCTGAGAAGGTTTTGCGACATTTTCCGTTGATTCCTAGGCTGAAGAGAATCTTTTCTTCCAAAAGAACAGCAGAGGAGGTGCAATGGCACAAGTTGAAGAAGAAGCCAGTGGAGAATGAGCTCAACCATCCAGCTGATGGCGAGGCATGAAAAGACTTTGATAGGAAGTATGGATGGTTTGCAGAAGATGCAAGGAACATCAGGCTTAGCCTCGCTACTGATGGTTTCAATCCATTTGGTAAAATGAGCTCCTCGTATAGCATGTGGCCAGTGTTTCTTATCCCATACAACTTTCCTCCATGGGAATGTGTGGAGCAATCCAACTTTATCATGGGCCTGCTTATCCCTGGTCGAGAATGCCCAGGAAAGGATATTGATGTCTTCTTGGAGCCACTTGTTGAGGAGTTCCTAGAGCTTTGGAACGGTGTCCCTACTGTTGATGCACTTAGTGAGAAGAAGTTTGATTTACATGCTACTATAATATGGTGCATTCATGATTATCTTGCTTTGAGCACATTGTCAGGTAGAGTCACAAGAGGTTATTATGCTTGTGTGCATTGTGACAAAAACCCTTGCTCCAAAAGGATAAGGAATAAGATATGTTACATTGGCCATCGGCGTTTCCTTCCTAGGGCCCATCCATGGAGGAGGAGCAAGGTGTTTGATGGTAATGTTGAAAACCATGAGAAGCCAGAGAAATTTACCATGGATGAGCTGATGGAGCAACTAGAGAGGGTCAAGGATGTCAGACCAGGAAAGCATCCTAAAAGCAAAAAAATAAAGCGGGACGAAGAGGGCCAATGTTGGAAGCGAAGGTCATGTTTGTGGGATTTGCCATATTGGTCAAGTTTGAAGCTGCGGCATAATCTTGATGTGATGCACATTGAGAAAAATATATGTGAGTATATCCTTGGTACATTTCTAGGCACGGCTGGGAAGTCAAAGGATGGTATAAATTCTAGGCTTGATTTGGAAGATATGGGCATTAGGAAGCATTTACACTTGATCCGTGATGGAGATTCATATAGTACTCCTCATGCCCCCTACACAATGACTAAAACACAGAAGGAGCATTTTTCTGATTTTTTGAAGAGTGTAAAATTTCCAGATGGATACGCTTCCAACTTAGCAACATGTGTTATTGCAGATGGATGCAACCTCCAAGGACTGAAAACTCATGATTGTCACATTCTTCTTCAAAGGATTATACCTGCTGCTGTCCGAGGAATCATGCACATGGACATATATGAAGCACTTGCTGAATTAGGTAATTTTTTTAGCAACTTTGTGCAAAAACTTTGAAGTTAGATGTGTTGGAAAGACTGAAAGCTGACATCCCAATCATTTTGTGCAAGCTTGAGAAAATATTTCCTCCTTTCTTTGATGTGATGCTACACCTGGCTGTCCATTTACCTAAAGAGGCAATTCTGAGAGGTCCAGTACAATATGGATGGATGTACCCGGTAGAAAGAAGGTTGTTAGCATTGAAATGGTTTGTGAGGAACATGGCAAGGCCTGAAGGGTCCATTGCAGAAGCATATGTTGCCGCTAAGTGCTTGACTATTTGCTCGAGGTACTTTGATGATGATGTTGAGACACGACACAATCGAGAGGGCAGGAATAGAGAGCGTGTTGCTATTGTGAGAGGAGACCTATCTGTTTTCCAGCATGGAGCTGATGTTCTTGGAGCACCAAGTCTTACATATCTTGAGCATGATTATGAAAAAAATGGTTTGGTTCGTACTAAACAATTGTCCAGAGGTTGAGCCATATATTGAGTATGTCAGCCCATCTACTATTTTCATTGTTTCTTGTAGCTTAGTTATTAGCCCTAATGTTTGAATTAACTATCATTTTCAGGATATACAAGAAAGAGTTGGAGAATGAAGGATGTCCTAATGTTCAAAAAACCCTTGAGAAGCAATTTTCTTCATGGTTTAAGAAGCACGTGAGTTTGATCTCAATTAATTTGTTTCATCATTTTTTTTCCTGGTTTAAGAAGCAAATTTTTTATGTCCATTAATTTTTTGTGCAGATTGCAAAACTTCATTATGTGGAAGGACAAGTCATAAATGATGAGCTATTTGCACTGTCATGTGAGCCTGATCTGCGAGTTTGAATTTATTCAGCATGTCTTGTTAATGGTGTTCGTTCCACACTGTAGACCGTGAGAAAAATAGAAGAACACAAATAGTCGAATTATGGCTGAGGGTACACATGACAACCATGATATTGACTTCTATGGTTCCTCGGAGGAAATAATTGAGCTTAGATACAATGCAGATTCGAGTGGCAATAGGACAGTTGTTCTATTTTGATGTGATTGGTTTGACACTCATGGAAAGAAGTTCCGAATGAAGGAAGATGGGTTCTTCAAAAGCATAAACCATGGCAGCTTGTGGTACAAGGATGATCCTTTTATTCTAGTGACACAGGCAATAAAGGTATTTTATTTGTTAGACACCAAGTATCGTGAGAAATGGCGAGTTGTTCAAAAATTTTCACACAGACACTTGTGGAGTGTGGCTGAAAATGACAATGAGGATATACCCAATGCCGCGGTATTGTCCTACCAAGATGATTGTGAAGGTGTGCATGTTCAACTTACTGAAGGATGTCTGGAAAATGAGCAGCCAGTTAGTGAAGATGGTGTTCGTGTTGATGCTAGTGTAGTTGATGACCTCCGGAGACAAAGAGAAGCGGAAGGGCAACAAGATGCGTCAGCCGACAGCGAAGATGAAACTGGATGGCAATATGTGAGTGATAATGAAGGTCCGACAATCCCTCTAGAAGATGACAATGATAGCGAATACGACTAGATTTAGTTGTGGTTTCAATTTAAATAACATGTACTGCAGTTGTTCTAGACAGTGCAGTTGAATTGGGCCATTGGCCTTGGTTTGTTTTAAATTTTTAATTCTTGATGGATATGTGCAGCACTACTGTTCTATTCTAGTGTTCTGTTATTCTGTGCACTGCATCTGTGGTTGGTGGCTTGAATCTTGATTGGCCTATTTTTAATGCATAGATGACAACAGTTCTGAATATCTGCATAGATGACAACAGTTCTAAATATCTGCAGCCACATCTTTTTTTTGCTATTATCTCTAAAAAAACTATTTGTTACAGTCTTTTTATCCCTACGAAACCTATTTAAAAAGCTTATTTTTAAATCTTTTGGCCATGTTTGTCCATTATCTAGGACATATATATACAGTAATACATCGGTCACCGGTTCCCTCTCCTCGCTGAACTTGCTCTGTGGCCACACCTTCGATGTTGTATTAGCATCTGAGCTTGACTATCCACTTATAGGACTTCCTCTATTACTCCGTGTATACAACCGAAGCATCATGAGAGATGCTTGGATCGAGGTTTTATTCATGAGTTGACGTACTAGTACTCAGTTGATGACTGAGCCTAGAGTGGTGCAACGATGGTGGTACTAGTACTAGCGCTGTTAATAGAACGACTTTGAACTAGGACCCTTTTGGTACATGTCCAATGTCTGTCGCACCGAATGAACATGTGTTATGCGTGCCACCCCTATTTAGGCTGTAATCATTTTCTCTGCCATTTCTACGTGGACAACATCGACGACAGAAGCTCCTGACATGCATTATGAGCAAGATCGAGGAGGGCCATGACCAACACAAGGTCAAGTATGTCCCCATCTTCACCGATTCCCTCTCCTCTCTGAACTTGCACTGCAGCCACATCTTCAATGTCGTACTAGTACTCAGTTAATGATTGGGCCTAGTGGCGCAACAACAGTGGTACTAGTACTAACACACATGCATGTGCATTGCAATGGGTGGAAAATCTTGAGCATGTGATCGGACAACGTCGCGGTTCTTGTATGAGTAGTACTACTCTACGATCGGACACGTTGCAGTTCTTTTCTGAGTAGTACTATTATTTTCTCTCCCTAGACTTTACGAATAGTTTCTAGTGAAAAAAATGTAGTATACACAATTGATTACACAATCATTTGGAAAACAACTAATCATGTTTTTGTTCCTAACATGACTTTTATTAGGCACAATGATTTTTGTTCTATCACTTACATGATTTTATTCCTATCAGTTGTATAATGAAAACACATCAAACAATGAAAACACGTTTTGAAATTTATAGTTTAAAACTAAACATCAAGATGCAATCATGAAGAGGAAAAACCAGGGCGTGCGCCATATTTCTATTATCCTTGTACCATTATTTATTAGTTGTAATAATAATAAGAAAACAGTATAAAGAAAGCAGCGCGTGCACCAAAATTTGTATGCCTGACGTAGCCGCGCAGTGGCACGATGTCTCCGTGCCACACCAAAAATTTTAGAGTCAAAATGTCATTTCTGTCAAGACATATACTACAATAGGTCTCCTTTGCACAAAGGATAGTACAGTAAATTTACCCCTTGCCGTGACCTATTCAGCTCACCTCTCCCCCAAAACCTAGTCAATCCAATTTACTCCTCTCAGCAGCCGCCACTTCATTGCCCCTGCTGCCCTCAGCTGCCGAAGAGGGTCCACCGCCCTCCGCTGCCCTCAGCCGCCGAAGAGGCCCTAGGCCCCCGACGTCGTCCTCCGCGCTCCGCTCCTGGCTTCCTGGACTCGCGAAGATGGCTCCTGGTTGGAAACCGAAGACCCGGCCCTCAACCAGACTTGAACCAGAAGGTAACTTGTGGATTTCCCCCTCTTACTTTGCAATCCATATGGCGGGGAACTGCGGCCGAGGCTCCAGTCCTAAATCTAGGGATTTGCAAGGAGAGGCCTACCCTGCAGCCTGAGGAACCAGCGTTGGCGCCCAGCGCGGCTGCAGGGATGCTAGGCGGCGAGGCATAGCGTAGCGGCTGGGGGTTATATGCTCTGTCATGGTGAGGAATTTGGAGATAGTTGGTTCCCTTTCTGATTAACCTAACTAGTTATATGCTCTGTCATGGCTTTTCAGAATTAGCATGGCTGAAAATAGCTGTATGCTACCTTCAGTAAAGCAAACCTTTTTGAGGGGAGATACTCTTTTTTTTCATTGACTGACTAGGCTACTAGAGATGCTGTTAAACGTGTAAATAGTTGTATGTTCTTTTTTCAGAATTAGCACAAAATCTATTTCAGTAAGGCTGTGTAGTTGGTTCCATATTTCACTGTCAAACTTCAGTACTAATTCTTAATGGTACATTACTCTGTAGGTTTTGTTCTCACATGCTTAATTTACATGGTCTGTGTTCTCACATGCTTAATTTACTGTGATTTTTTTTCTTGTGCAAGTACAGAGGCTCCACTGACTGAATATGAGATGCAGAAGATGGAACAAGTGATGCGGAACAGTCGGGTGTTCCGCAGTCTTGGAATACAAGAGGCAGCGAATATTCTGAAACAATCAAGACCAATGACCACTAATGCTACTCGTGAAGACTCTGGCTCATTATATCAACCTGAAGCCGGTGAAGACATTGAACGAGTATTTGATAAGGTACCTTGATGACAACCCAACATTTATGTTAAATATGCAGTACATGATGACAACCCAACATTTATGTTAAATATGCAGTACATGAGCAAAGCTCAGTCATTTGTGTTAAATATGTAGAATTATTCATTCTGTTGTAATTTGTTGTATCATGTAGGAGGCCATGCAAGACTTGGAATTTAAAGTTAGGAAGAGTTCGGCAAGAACATCAAAGAGAGTGATGGCAGTGGCACTTCGGGGGCAAGACGAACCAGCAAGAATTACTAGGCAGAGGACAAGGGAATTGGCCTTAGCTGATGAAGTTCCAACAGCAGACCCACAAGTTGGTTCCACGAGAAGATGCAATCGATGGTCGCCAATGATAATACCCGGTCCAACAACGAGAATGAGCCTTCTACTGAAGGCAAGTGATTGTACCCTCTCTCCACTATTAATGATTTATTTATTTGCATTAATGGGTCTATGATTTCCTCTAATTATTTTCCAAATTCCATGATAGGTCAATGTATCACCAAAAGACACCTAGGTAGAGATTTGGATACGATTTCAAGAGGGTTAAGAGACAAGATCCCAGTGAACATCTCTGAAGGAAAGTTGCGGCCAGAGGAGCCTTTGCAAGCTGCAAAACTAGCATCAGAGGCTGGTATTATTCTACGGGACCATGTCCCAATCTTCACTCACTGGAAGCATTATAAGGAGGACGCTGCCAAACCTCTTGTTAAAAACTACAATGATAAACTTAGTGTAAGTAACCTGGCTGCTAAATAGATACCTATTTTTCTGTGGTTTATGGATTACAACTATACAATAAGTGGTGTAAGCTTTAGTATTTTCTAAATTTCTAGTACCATAGTTTTAGTCTAAATGTGTGGCTTTGCTACTACTTTGTTGCTTTGCTGCTGCTTTTCTAGTACCATAGTTTTAGTCTATTTTCCTGTGGTTTATGGATTACAACTATACAATGATAAACTTTAGTAAGCTTTAGTAGTTTCTGAGCTGCTTTGCTGCTGCAGCTAGAAAAATGTGTGGCTGCTAGGAACATATTTTCCTGTGGTTTATGGATTACAACTATACAATGATAAACTTTAGTAAGCTTTAGTAGTTTCTGGAGCTGCTTTGCTGCTGCAGCTAGAAAAATGTGTGGCTGCTAGGAACATATTTTTCTGTGGTCTATGAATTACTAAATAGATATGTGGCTTCTTGCATTTTCAGAAATTCAATTGGTGTTCATCCTTTGTCATTTCTTTTAGTGATCTTGGTTCAATTTGTGTATTTTTTTCTTGCCGATCATACACTTTGTCTATCTCCATATTCAAATTATTCTGTAATATAGTGCTGCATAATCTAGAGTTGACACTTGTTTATACTGCTTGCTATTGCTACCGCTTCCGCTGCCGCTGCCACACACTCCCATAACATCATTTGAATGACGTTTAATGATATGTGCATGCTCTTGTCCAGAGTCAATTCACAATTAACAAAGATGTTGTGCCGGTGAAAGATGCATTTTCTGATTTGCTCAAAAAAGGACAGCGGCAAATGAGATACAAGCTAAAGAAGCAATACTTCAATGGCATACTAGCAAATGCAGTGAGAACAACTTCACCGCTGTCCACTATGACTGACATGCAGTGGAAACAACTCATGGACATGTGTGGATAGGAAAAATTGTTGCCTTAATATCTATCAAAATTGTTGCCTTACAGAATATATGGATTGTCTGTCCACTAATGTTTTCTTTGTATAGGAAAAATGTCTAAAAAGCAAAGATAGCCGTGAGCTATTTCAGTACCACCAGATGACAGGATCTCGGAGCTATGTTGCTCAATGCTATGTTATGGTAAGATAAATCACTGCATCTTTACAAACTTTTGTGATTTTTAGTTGATACTAGAGGTTGTATGTGTCCAGAAATGGTGCTTGTTGCATGAAAAATACTGTCCACTGTATGTAATTTACTTTTATGTTATTTATTGATCTGCTGTATGTTGCTTAATGCTACTGTCTGCTGTATGTCTGCTGTTATTTACTGATCTATTGTATGTTTCTCAATGCTATTGTCTGCTGTTCTTTTGTACTGATCTCGGAGCTATGTTGCTGCTACTATGCTGCTGCTGCTACAAATAACTCTTCACATTCTTTCAGTTATTTACTTTTCTGTTTGTATGTAATTTCAGAAGCAAACTAAATTTAAGGATGCGCCACCAACTGCGATTGATATTTTTAAGGACACCCACTGCAGTAGCAAGTCAGGTTTTAATGAGCAAGCGAAGGATGCCATTGTGAGTATCTTTCCCTATTTCTTACTATGATGAACAACACAACAGATCAGTACAAAATAAAAATGTT